CATCTGACCCCACTTTGAATACTATGTCCAGCTCTGGGCGTCATGTTTTCAGACTGATTCAGTGCAATTAGAAGAGATGCCAGAAACAGCAATGGGTATATTCAGGGATCTAAAAACTAAGACCTATGAAGAAAAATGGAATGATCTGGGGATTGAATCTTCAGAAAAGATAAGGGAAGGAGTATAATAAACACTTTTCTAGCATCTGAAAGAATGCACAGACAGTAAGTCGAGACCTGTTCTCTTATCATTTCAGAGGGTACAGAATAGTGCATTTAAAGTTAGAGGAAGGTAGATTCTGATTGCAAACATTTGACCCCAAGGGAAGTGATAAATTTCCTTTCACTGGTTGTGTTCAAACTGGACAGCTATCTGTATAATACTGCAGACTAAACCTCAGACAATGGATTCAATGGCTGAAATGTGGCCTTCTAAAACAATGATTTTATGGATTTCCCCCATTCATCAGTTCAGTTGAAGTCCTATCTAGCCAACTTGAGACAGCACAAACAATAACACCTTAAATTTTTCTGCACCTATTGCTCATCCATAGGATTTCTCTCTTCAAGTATGATTTCTCTCTATTTCAAGCAATAGTAGGCTATATAAATGCTTTGAAAAAATAAATGAATGAATAAATATAATAATGTGGAAAACATTGAGGGGACAATGCAGCATGAAGTCTGACCTAATTATCTCTGGGATTCTCTACTCTGATTTGTCAGCATTTTCTAATATTCCTCATTTGGCATCTCCTAACTAAAATAGGTAATCCTTGCTTAATGATCCCTATTATATTATTATACACAAAAAATGACAGTGTACACAGCAAACAAGATAACTATGCTGGGTTTCGTATCACAAATCACTAGTCGAACACTTCCCAAGGTTTAGGACTGTGTGATGTATCAGCGGATTATGCGAGCGGATCCCAGTAAGGTGGCCTTCTGCAGCTGACCAATGGTGATTTTGTCAGCGCCAATTGTTTTTAAGTGCTTGCCTAGGTCTTTAGGCACAGCACCCAGTGTGCCAAGTACCACTGGAACCACCTGCACTGGTTTATGCCAGAGTCTCTGTAGTTTGATTTTCAAGTCCTGATATCTGGTGATTTTTTTCAAGTTGTTTCTCGTTGATTCTGCTGTCACCAGGTATGGCAATATCGACGATCCACACTTTTTTCTTCTCCACATGATGATTCCTATGATGATGATGTTGTGAGATGAAGCAGTAGTTCAGTGAAACATCCTGTTACCATCCCACTTAGCGATGACAGTTCCAGCAGTCCCAGTTGTTGAATGAAGTGAATGACCCATGGTCATTAAGCAAGAAATCATGTGACTGTGACTTGCAACTTCCAACCAGCTTCTCCATTGACTTTGCTTGTTGGAAGTCATCTGCAGTTACAAATGATAATTATGTGACGGTGGGACACGGCAACCATCATAAATGTGTAATGGTTGCCAAATGCTCAAATCACAATTACATGGCTGCAGGGACACTGTGATGGTCATAATTGCAAGGAGCAGTCACAAGTCACATGTTTCAGTAGTATCGTAACCTGGAATAATTGTATGATTGTTAAGAACTATCTGTAATAGAATTTTAAAAGGAGAAAATATACCCAGGTCGAAATAGAGGCAGCGTGCCCCACAAACGTGCAATGATTGAAGTACAATAAATCAGTAGTTGAAACTGATTTGACGCTGGTCTCCTTTGCGGATGTTGATGGGAGAAATAACAAAAGAAACTGGCAAAGAAGCAATGAACTCCTAACATGACATTTCTTATTGTTTTCCAGATACTGCACTGAATCAGAATGGGGCTGCTACAGCTAAAGATAGTGTAATGACTTTTTCGGAGCCATTTCAAAGCACTGTTAATGCAAAATTATGCTAATATGTCCCCTCTTTGTCTTCAGATAAAATACTAAGGAAGAATCTACTTTTTTCTGCTTTGCTGGGAAGAATATGGTTTCAAAAATATGGCGGGTGGGATAACGGGTCTGAAAGAAACTCAGGAAACATGGTGTTAACAAAGAAGACACATAGTTGAATAGCTAACTGATAAGAAAGGTGGCTTGCCCACACTTCCAGAATAGGCTTGGAGTTAAGCTGAGGGAGGGAGGCAGGGAGGAAGGGACGGAGGGAGGGAGGGAGGGAGGGAGGAAGGAAGGAAGGAAGGAAGGAAGGAAGGAAGGAAGGAAGGAAGGAAGGGACTTCTGTTTACATTCACAATACAGCCCGACTTTGTCTCCAAGATCACAGGTACAAAAACTATTAGATTTTAGACATCTTAAACCTACTGTATAATAGGAGAATCCAGTTTAAAGAAGGAAACAATATATGTTTATGCCAGTGCACTTGGTGATGACTTAAGGTTGTTCACTCACAGCTAGGGACAAATTAAGTAAAATCATGCAAGGGGTGGGGAGGAGACAGTGTCTGGTTTTGCATGGAGGCATTGCTGCATAATGAGTTTGTGCCAGTGCAAAGTCGGCTCTAGAGTTGCCTAATCAGGTGGCGTTGGGTAGTTTGAAGAGTTTAATTAGCTTTTTTCTGGCTACGAGCTACTCATCTGAAATTGGAACAAGCAGGAGTTTTTTTCTGCAAAGGCTGGTGGAATTTGAAGATGATTTGCTGATTGAAAGAATGTCTTACCTTGCCCTGTCAACCCATTGCTAGCCTACAGAAACTTAATCCTTTTCTCCTTCCCACCCCAAATAAGCCTTTCTTCCTATTCCTATAGACTTCTTATCCATCCCTGGCCATCTGCAACCACATTAAATGTTCTGAAAGAAACACTGGGGTGCAGAACCACTAGACAGCAATGGTGGCACAGTGGTTAGAGTGCAGTATTGCAGGCTGACTCTGCCGACTGCCAGGAGTTCGATCGTAATAGGTTGATTCAGCCTTCCATCCTTCTGAGGTCAGTAAAAGTGAGGACCCAGATTGTTGGGGGCAATATGCTGACTCTATATAAACTGCTTAGAGTGCAGTTACAGTCTTGCTCCAGTCTTGCCTGTTGCAGACTTTCATTTTGTTACTCAAGGTTATTCCTTTTATCTTTTACATTGCATCTCAATGCATACAAGGCTATACCAAGAGTAAAGACAAGGAAGTAGGGTAGTAGGTGTCTTAGAATCACTTTGTCCTGCATCTTTAACAAAACAGGTTCTACATGCAGGGCTTCAATAGATGTACAGAAGCTGCAGAAAGGATGAGAAAAATCAGCCATATGCAGAAAAGAGGCAAAGAGATCTGTGCAGTTACGCCAGGAAGTTTTGGAGGTAAAGCCTGTTTCTCCAGTAGGAAAAAGGCAGCTATATAACCTTCTCCCTTCCTTTCTCTTGTAGTCTCTGGACTTGGATAGTGGAGTTTGGGCCTGAACACTTTTGCCCTAGGGAGAACTCATATGGCAAGTTTGTCTTGAGGTCCCTGAAAGCTCTGCATTTGTCCTGGACACATAATTTAGGGAGGTCAGAGAACTATATTTTTTTACTTTTAGGAAACGAAGTTCGGGACGTTCTTGTTATCTGAGGATGTAAACCAGATCAGATGGCACAGCATTCACTGAATGCCAATTTTTGCAATCTCCTCTGGTTGCACTTCTTGGCATCCAGAATGCCAATTTTTGCACTCTCTTCTCCTCCAAAATAAAGATTGACGCACACTAGCTTCTAGTTTTTCATCATTCAGAGACATGATAGGAGATATTCAGAGCATTTTGAAGCCAGCTGGCTTCAAAATGGTTTAGAATAACTGCAGGGTGGAAAAGATGCCATTCACACATCCCCCAAGTGGAGTAAAAGATGAAAAAATTGTGAATACTTATTTATAACCTAACTTTCTGTTATTATTATTTTTGTACTTTGAGTTGACATCATCTGTCCATCTAAAGTCGGGGATTTAAACCTACAAATATCCCTGCTGAATTCACACACACACACACACACACACACACTAAATCAAGGCTTCCAAGGAAGCAACAAATGATAACATGACAGGCCTGACAATAACTGCTGTTCTGAGTAGGTAAACACCAGTCTTGATTTGTTTTTAAATAGTTATCTGCATCACCTCTGTTCTATTCTATTCTATTCTATTCTATTCTATTCTATTCTATTCTATTCTATTCTAATCACCTCCAGTAAAAAAATTACTTGGGCAAAACCAGCAGGGAAAATGATTGTGATAGAAAATAACATATGAAGCTCCAGATTGAACAGTGGAATCCTTGGTGCTCTGCTCTCCTTAAATAATTCAGTTTTAGGAAGGAAAAAAATGCCTAAAAGGAGGGGCGGAACAGATGGAAAATCTTGCATATTTGATATCGGCTGCAATGAACTCGGGACGAGGAGAGGAAAGGCGGGTGCTGCTGGGATCTTTTTTCCGGATTCGGGGTGACAACGGGAGCCACCATAGCAGGTAGCTGTGTCTGGTGGGTGGGGGGGAAGGTAGGGCAATTCTCCCCGCAGCTCTCGCGGGGGTGGGCTTTCGTTTTCAAGGGGAGAAGCGGAGAAAAGGGGCCAGCTTGGAAAGACAGTTGGGGCTCCCGCTGTAACGAGCCCGAAAGGGCGAGGGCAGCAGACACCCCCCCCCAGAAGGCGCCCCGCCTCGGGCGAGAGGGGCAGCCTTGAACTCTTGCGCACAGCCCCCGCCGCCGGCTCTCTCTCTCTCTCTCCCTCCCTCACGGGAAGCAGACCAGAAAGGGAGGCCCTCCCGCCAGAAGGAGGCTGCGTAGGGGCGGCCGGGGAGCCGAGAAAGGCCCTCGCCGTGCCTGGAGAGAGAGCGGCTGTCGGAACGGCACGGAGGAAGGCCTGATTGGTTCGGCGGAGAAGCTGCCGCGCTCGCAACCCGCGCTCCCGGCCCGCGCGGGGGGGGGGGGGGGGGGAGGGAGGGGAGGCGGGCGCTGAGGCGGGGCCGGGCCGGGCCGAGCGCAACGAGGAGGGGGCGTCGGCTCCGCAGCCAGCGCGCCTGCCCGACCGGTGGCAACGACGACAACGACGGAGAAGCTCGAGCAGCGAGCAGGAGGAGGGGCGGGGGGTCTCCGGGCCGGGACGGCCGGGCCCCATGGGCGGGTGTGTGGGCTCTCACCACGACTCTTCGGGCAGCCTCAATGAGAACTCGGACGGCACCGGAGGTGAGAGCGGCGGAGGGGCTGGGCTGTTCTTGGCCGAGGCGGGGAAGAGAGGCGAGCAGAGGCAGCTGCTTCTCACAATGAGGAGAGGGAAGCCGAGAGGAGCCCTCGGCGGCCTCCTCTTCCTCTCCTTTTTTCATCCGGCGGTCTCCCGTTCTTGGGAGACTTGGCCGTCTATCCTGCCTTCCTCCGCCCGAAGAGAGCGCCCCGCTTCCTGGAAGTGGTCCTCCTCCTCTTCTTCCTCCTTCCAACTTTCCTCAACTAAAAGGCTCAGCGGGCGCTCTCCAAGAAGGAGCGGGACCTCCAAGGGACCCGGGCAGGGCTGGGGCAATACCCCTGACCTGAAAGAGACGGTGGGACTGAGAGGGAAACTATCCCCCCCCCCCCGCCTTCCGTCTCACCCACTCCAGGGATGGGGAGAGAATTGCTCTTCTCTGCTCAAGGTGGGCTGCCTCTCTCCCTTAGTCTCGCCCTCTTTAAGGGGAAAAAAGGACACTAATAAAATCGTGACTCCTTTCTCTTCCAAAGAATTTGAACTGTAAGAGCTGCTGCTTCTGCTTCTTCTTCTTCATCATCATTATTATTAGAAATATAATGCATGTTATTGATAACTTCGGATTGCCAACCTCTTAGGGGATGAGCATTCCCTTAGGAAAGAGTCACCAGTGTTCACCTATAGTTCAATGATTTGTCCTTTAATGTAGTGACATTTTGGGAAACTAGTCTGTTGTAAATGTGGCTTTTCCTAAAGCTCCCCTGCCCTCTGAAACGCCAGAATACCCTGAAGCATACAAAACATCTAATTGTGCCAGAGAATTGAAGTTTTTAAGTTAGAATATTTCTTTCCCTTAAAGCAGGCTGCACTCAAAAGTTGCTGGGTGCTGCAGCTGATGTTTTGCCTGCTTGTAACTTTGCATACAATTGTATGATAATCAACGGAGGAGGATAGTTTTTCTCCCCCCCCCCCTTTTAAGATTGTCTCCTCTTCTGCCACCTGGAGAGCATTTACCACCCACTTAAGGGTTATGCCTCCTGTTGTTTCCAATAAAACAATGGCTGCTGTTCTCCTTAGTGGTATGGCGTATAGCTATGGAACATCTATTAAAGAAATCGAAGGGTCCGCTTAAGTTATCATAACAAGGACAGTGAAATATCACAGGCTCAACTACTCTCAAATCTAATAAAGTGTAAGTTGCCATTCAGATGGACTTAGAAAATTCACCATGTCTGAGTAATGTCATCCATTGTTAAGAAACTGCCATGCTGGTTAGTATTATGAGGCAATGGAAGGTCATAGAAGAAATAGTCTTAGATGTGATTTTTTTTTTGCTTTTATATTCATCTTGTAGCCTAATAAATGGTTAAGTATTTCTTTAGTAAAGGGTATCATTATATTAAAGACTATAACCTTTTGCACAATGAAAGCATATAAACAGTTGATCACAGTGGGATTATGGATTCTTTTTGGCCTGGATTTACCTATCAAGATCTTATGTCTATATTCAACTTCTGTTGGGCATCATTTTGTATTGAAATAATTATCATCTAATATAGTACTTGCATTTTATGGATTGCCCAATCTGTGTGAATTATATGCAAGGTTTAAGGTAAAAATAATCCCTGAAGAGAGATCGGATATTTAGTTGATAATGTGATTCTCAGAGGTAAATCTCAATTTGTTGAGTATTGGTTGCGCAGTAATATATTTTAGAGGGGTTTTCCCCGCTTATTTTTATTTAAATACCATCAAGTATTTAGGTATATACTTGCATGTCACAATGGAACAAACCGGGGGTACAGTAGTTTTTCTATTTTTTAAGATGAAATAATTGTAGTATAATGTACGAGCAAAAATGTCACATTCTCAAAATTTTGTCTAAATTTTCTGCTTTTCAGTAATATACATTTGTGATGAATGCCTAATCTCACTAACCATTTCAAGAGTAGCACTGTGTTGAAGTTAGAAATCATTGCCATTACAATACTAGTTCAAAAACAGATCTATTGAAGTTGAGACTGATTACTATCCTACTAGGTCACTTCTGTCTCTAATTTTACTTGCAGTACTTGATCAATTTACAGGTTCTTGCAAATTATTGCAAACAGATCTTGCACTTCAGAGTTTTATCTTAGACATTTCCAGAATATAGCTTTAGGTTTTTTAGGGCTCTGAATTATAAGAAATTATTCGTATTCATTAATTCACTACTGATTTGTGGCGATCCTCAATCTCAATATTTCTCTTGAGACTGCAGTTAAATCTACTAAATGCAATAAAGTATTATAGTTAGCTATGTATCATAATGTATATATGTTTAATATGCAGGCAAGAATTTGACATACAGATATCAAAGTATGTCTTTCTCATTGGGTTGTCATTTTGGACTTTATGCAGTTTTTTTTCCATGACAGATCTGAATTCAGCTGGATTTCTTATGTGGAGTTGTTTGGCAATTTAGTTGATAAAAGGCATAAGAGTTGATACATCTCTGTGTTGTAAACTGTTGTTCAAATACAGTGGGATTTAAAGACTAATGATGCCATTATGTGGTTTTCCTATGTTACAAAAGGAGTATCAGCTGAAACCTAACATATAATTGTTCTTTTTTGCATATTAAATTTAAGCTGGACATAACAGGTATAAATTGATAGCTTGGCCGAAAGAAATGCCTGTCGTGTTATTTGTGTGACTAAGACCTGAAGTGTGTTCACACAACCAGAGCACTGTTGAATGAATTTCATGTGGTTTCTCCAATCTGCTATTACAGTGATATAGGCCAGCATAACTTATATTACTTTTCTGTTCTGAACAGATTCAGTGGTTTTGTGGTTGCTCAGTTTTTCTATTGCAATGTTTGATAAACTCTTTTTTAAAACCTATATTAAAACTATTATTGCCTTTGGCAAGTATTAATAGCATTAAGGCCTTCTCTTAACTGTGCAGAATGGAAAAAAAGCTATTTATTAGTTTATAGAGACAAAAAATTACGTTATACATTAAAAATAATAAATGCAATGAAGAATTAACATGTTAGAGTGGTGGTGGTGGTAGTAAACATTAAATATTGACTCTTTGTGGACCAACTTATGTAGCTCAGATCCAAACCTGAAAACAAATTAAGACCAGTATCTTCTCACAGCAGTCACAATTGTACCCAATATAATAACTTTCAAAGAAATTTAAATAGACCAGTCTGCTAATAGAAGCTCCGTTTCATGCCAACTTACACATAAGGATAAGAAATATAACTCAGACCACCACATAACGCACAAAGAGCAACATAGCAATATGTGATGTACAAAACTATCTTATTGTCTTAATAATAATGTGATGTTACTGAACTTTCCCATCAACATCGTTGAGGATAAATCTTGCTAGTATAAATGCCCTTCTGTACAAGACAGAGAGGATGTAAGAAAAATACACATAGTGAAAGGTCTGATACAGAAACCCTTGTAACAATTGTTTGAAACTTTGAATATGTTCTTTAAGTCTATATCATGACTCTGACCTTTAAGATATCTTTCTCTGGCCAAGCATTATTGGGAATTGGTGTGAAAGACTAGAAGGATAAATCAAAGATTGTACTATTTTTCCCAGAGATTATTTTATCAGCAAGGATTGCATGGGCTACGGTCTGACCTCAGAAAAAGTTGTTCTAACCTGTATTTCAAATGTCCAGTTCTCATATGGGCCTCCTCACAAACACAATCCATTTCCAGCAGTATAAGATAGTTTGGCACAGATTGAGGCAAGTGAAGCATAGTTCTTAACAATTTTGGTTTACATCAGTGGTTCCCAAAGTGGGCGGTACCGCCCCCTGGGGGACAGTGGGATGCCTTAGGGGGGTGCTAAGAGGCAAGGGGGCTGGCAGGGGGGCCCTAAGAGGCATCAGGGGGGCATTCGAGGCGCCGGCCCTGCAGGTTCACTCATTGACTGTAGCACCGGTCCAGAGCCGGCGCCTCCAATGCGGAAGCGGTAGCACGTTACATGCCGCCACGGCCGCGTTCGATGCACCGCCCCCCTGCCGCCTCTTAGCGCCCCTCTGCTGGCCCTCTTGAGGACGCTGAGAGGCGTCAGGGGGGCATTCAAGGTGCCGGTCCTGCAGGTTCACCCATTGATTGTAGCACCACTCCGGAGCCAGCGCCTCCAATGGGGAAGCGGTGGCACATTATGTGCATCTGCGGCAGCGTTCAATGCACCATTCCCCTGCCACCTCTTAGTGTCCCCAAGGGGGCTGGCAGAGGGGCGCTAAGAGGCATCGGGGGGCGTTCGAGGCACCAGCCGGCCTGCAGGTTCACCCATTGAGGCTCTGGCTCCGAAGCAGTGCTACAGTCAATGGGTGAACCTGCAGGGTCGGCTCCTCGAATGCCCCCCTGCCACTTCTTAGCATCCCCAAGGGGGCCAGCAGAAGGGTGCTAAGAGGTGGCAGGGGGCAGCGCCTCAAACGCGGCCGTGGCGGCATGTAATGTGCCACCGCTTCCGCATTGGAGGCGCCGGCTCCAGAGCAGTGCTAGTCAATGGGTGAAACTGCAGGGCTGGCCGGCGCCTCGAAGGCCCCCCTGACGCCTCTTCACCCCCCTCTGCCGGCCCCCTTGGGGATGCTAAGAGGCGGCAGGGGGACGTTTGAGGCACCAGCCCTGCAGGTTCACCCATTGACTGTAGTAATACTCCAGAACCGGTGCCTCGAATGCGGCAGCACATTGAGAAAAGCCTCTGCCACCGCTTTTCCAAAGTGCCGCTGCTGTAGCATTCTGTCTGTCTGTCAGTCCATCTGTCCATCCATCCATCCAAAAGGTCTGTCTGTTTGCCTGCCTGCCTGCCTGCCTGCCTGCCTGTCTCTGTCTCTCTCTACCCATCCATCCATCCTTCCATGTTCGAAGTGCTGGCCCCGCAGGCACATCGGGAAAGTAGAGGAAAGCCAGTCTGAGAGGGAAGGAGGGAGGGAGGGAGGGTGAGAGAGAGAGAGAGAAAGAGAGAGACCTGATGCATCAGATTGAAT